ACTGAAATCATGCAATACAGTTTCACCAAGGGAAAGTGAGTCATAAATGGCTCTTTATTAGATGTATTTCATTATTTCAGAACGGTTTGAAGGGGGCTTAATATTTAGCAGAGGCATGTTGGAATTCATTGTCAGAGTTGAACAGCAGAACATTGTTTAAAATGTTACATCTTAAACCACCTATTATTATCAAATGTATGTATGTACCTGACCCTTGTTGTAGCAGTGTACACCTCCAGAAATGCTTGTTACTTTAACCCAATGTAATGAGACAGGTGGACACTTCATGTCTGTTTGTTGACTACCTAGATGACCTTTTAGATTAAAAATAAATGTTTGTTTCTCCCCTATTGACTTAAATACATAAATCCTCATGGTTATTTTATATATTGACCTTGTTTTTATATTTAAGTCAGAAAATATGAAGCAAACTAAATGTGTCAAGTCCTTATTTTAAGACATTGAATGAGGTCAAATTGCAGAGGTGGAAGAAGTACTCAGATCTTGTACCTAAGTAAAAGTAGAAGTACCAGAGTGTAGGAATACTCTGTTACATTAAAAGTCCTGCATTCAAAATGTTACTCAAGTAAAGGTACAAAAGCATTGGCATCAAAATATACTTAAAGTACCAAAAGTAGAAGTACTCGTTATACAGATTGGTCCATTTCAGAATAATATGATATGTTTTATAATGATTGATCATTAAAGTGTTATCAAAGCTGGTTTTATTTGCAGTGGAATCTGAAACAAGAAACTCTGATTGTGTAAAAACATTTGAATGTGTGTGTGTGTGTGTGTGTGTGTGTGTGTGTGTGTGTGTGTGTGTGTGTGTGTGTGTGTGTGTGTGTGTGTGTGTGTGTGTGTGTGTGTGTACTAAAACTCTAGTTTTAATGACTTGTGTACTGCAGGGTAGCTTTTGAATTTACTCCAGGTGGAACTAAAGTCTGATTTAAGAGTTGATTATATTTCTCATAATTAAGCCAAATCTGCAAAGTACCTAAAGGTATTAAATAAATGTAGTGGAAAGTAGCAAAACATTGAAATACTCAAATAAAGTAAAAGTATCTCAAATTGTACTTAAGTACAGTAGGCCTACTTGAGTAAATGTAGTTAATTTACACCACTGTCAAATTGACCCCAAAGACAGTAAAAGGGTTGAACCAAGGCCCTCTTGATTGTAGAGCTTTCACTTAAATGGGGAAGGTTTTTTCAAATCCATGATCCAATAAAAAAAATAAAGACAGAAAGTGCAGGTATGAGGGAAAGAGAGAGGCAGTGAGGAGGACAAAGTAGGCTGAATGAGGAAGGAAAAGTGAGGATAAAATGGAGTGAAATAGAAAGAATGAGGAGAGCAGGGTTACCGACAGACAGAGACAGAGAGGAGAGAGGTAGAAGGTGATTGTAGCACTAGTCTATTCTGCCGCAGCCCTACCGGGCGGGGGGATTACTGCCGTGCAGCCCGGAGCTTGACGCGGGACGTTCCTGGTCTCGAGCACCGCGGATATACTTCGTCTGGCACGCGCATGATGATATAAATGAATATGGAATGATAACGACCGACAGCGGGAGATGGGCAGGCGTTGAGATCAGCTTTAACTTCCCCCGGTGGCGGCTCAGCTTCGAAATGGTAGGAAAAAAACCTGTTCCGGTACAGTAATGTAGTAGAGAGCCCCTTCCTATTGGCGTGCTGTTTCGTATTCTCCAAAAAGACGCAATGCGAGGAGTTGAGAGGAGCATTAGCTACGCAGCTGAGAGTGGAGCATAAAGCTCTCTCAGTGTCAGCAAGCCTCTTTCCGTAGTTCTCTGGCTTTAGTTTCTAGCAGCGTCAGGATATTACCATCCACCATATCATGTTTTGTCGCTGAATTCAATGCAAAAAACGTTCAAATAAAACAGCTCTTGCACGCCGGCTAATATACACACCTGGCAAAACACAACTTATAGACAATGTTGAATTGTCAGGATCCAGTCTTACATTCGGCATACACAGGAGTAGCAAAATACACCTTAATGTAACTAAATCTGAACTTTTAGAGTCGGTTGGCCAGTTCTTTATATTCCTTCAAACGCACTGTGCGGGGCGGAAGCAGGTGTGTGAAACCATTGTAAAACTTAATATTTTGTCAACACAAGACATTTTTGAAACATTGTACATGCGCCGAATTTGTCAGTAGACGATTACATAGGAGGTGACTGTATGTCACACGCCATACCACAAGTATGGCTGACAATGAACAAGTTAAGTTTAAATTATCACAGTTTTGAATGAAGTTTGGAGCAACGTCGCCTCCGTGCGGGAGAGCGGGGCGTATTGGCGTTACACCGTCAAATGTGGTCTCCGTCCCCTGGCAGTGCGTTAGTCACCGGACAACATGAGTTGGTGTGTGTCTCAGCGCCTGCAGTCTGCGGGTGAAAGTTGATGAGTGTGGGGCTTTGTAGAAGAGCGGTCAGCGGCTGGCCGGCTGCCTCCGGGCCGTCCGTCCCACAGGGACAGCGGAAGGCCAAGTTGAAGTTCAGCTCGAGCCTCTGGTTTGTGTGTGTGTGTGTGTGTGTGTGTGTGTGTGTGTGTGTGTGTGTGTGTGGGTTGTGTGTGTGTGTGTGTGTTGTTGTGTGTGTGTGTGTGTTGGTGTGTTTGTGTGTGT